GAGAAAACTGGGAGGAGTTTTGGTCTATCTTTAAAGCAGTCGTACATGATAGGAGTGATCTTGCAAGTGTTACCAAATTGTGCTATTTAAAGGGACAAGGTTAGTGTTTAAATTTATAAGTAAGATGAATATCTCATATAATTTTCCCCATCCCCTGAAATACTGGCTTCAGAGGGTACAAGAAGAAACCTACAGGGATGAAATTAAATTAATGATGGACGGAAAAATTGTGAAAAGCTCAATAATAGAAAAGCTGGGGCTGTATTTAGAGTATGATGTAATTAGGTGCAGAGGCAGGTTACAAAATGCTGAATTGGGGGAATATGCTAAGCACCCTATCTTGCTGCCCAAAACTCATCACCTGACAACCTTGATTGTCTTTAATGCCCATAATAACGTGATGCACGGTGGGGTACAGGATACCTTAAACTGTATTCGGGGAAACCTTCTGGATTCCACAAGGACGGCAAAGTGTAAAAAGGGTTATCAAGTCGTGTGTAATATGTCGCCGGGTGGATGCCAGAACCTACATGTACCCAGGTCCTCCACCATTGCCCAAGGAATGCGTGCAGTTTGTAAAACCATTTGATGTGACCGGAGTGGACTATAGTGGGCCAATCATTTTAACAGGTACTTCAGATGGTGTTCCCTTGAAGGTGTATGTATGTCTATTTACTTGTACAGCTACTAGGGCTGTTCATCTAGAAGGGGGCCAGGACTTGTCTGCAGAAACAGTTCATACAGCTGTTCCGGAAATTTGCGGCTAGGAGATCCTGTCCAAGATTGATGATCTCAGATAATGCCACCAATTTTGTAGCTGGTGCTCAACACTTGATGGAATTAAATAAGAGTGTTTGATGTACAGTCTTTGTTGACCCAGCGAGGGTGTGTCTGGAAATTGATTACTCCAGAGCCCTTGGCAGGGAGGACTGTACGAAAGAATGATAGATACAGTGAAAAGATGTCTTCGAAAGGGGTGCTACACAGGAAGAGAATTAATTTGAGGAATTCCGTGCAGTGTTGGTGGAGGCAGAGAATCGGGTAAAAATCGCCCTCTGTCATACATGAGCGACACTCCTGACGCGGAGATCCTGACTCCCTCTCACCTAATATGCGGACGAAGGTTAGAAGCTGCACCTATCTATAGAGATAATCCCGAGGGAAGTGATGAGGATTACAATAACGATGACCGTGTTGAGTGATAAGTTCAAGATGTTAAATAAGGTAATTACTCATTGGTCCGATGTGTGGCGTAAAGAATATCTTCTTACACTACGTGAACACTTTTATGGTGCGCCAGAGGCAGTAAACCGACAGAACATTCAACCAGGTGACATTGTGTTAATTGATACTGAACAACATCGAACATTGTGGCCTCTGGGCAAGGTAGTTACCAAGTAAACCAAGTCCTAACCGATATAAGCTGGGAAGATATACTAAGCAACACAGACCCAAACTTATGCCTAGAACAGATTAACTCGGTGGCACTCGATGTATGCACAAGGCTTATTCCTCTAAGAAAAAGGAGGAGTAGATGTAAAATAGAAAGAGACAGGCGCTCCCTTTACAGGCGACGGAAAAGAATAACAGAGCGGCTAAAAGAGGTCAATATATCTGAAATGCGCAGGGAGACACTGGTCAGAGAAATAGCAAGCATCGAACTTAAGCTAAAAGAATTTCCCTTTAGGAGTCAGGAATCGCGGGGAAGAACTAAAAGCCATAAATGAAATCGAAAGAAACCCAAAGTATTTTTCTCCTATGCCAAATCAAAATCGAGAACAACCCTCCAGTATTGGGCCCCTACTTAAACAAGATGGGTCCTACACAGATGACAGCAAGGAAATGAGTGAGCTACTCAAGTCCAATATGAAATCAGTTTTTAGCAAGCCCCTTTAAACCCGGGCTGAGAGTCGAAGACCAAAATGAATTTTTTATGAGGGGAGCCACAAAATTTGACTAACACAAGCCTATCCGATGTTTATCCTGACGCCAAATGACTTCGAACAGGCGATAAATGACATGCCCATGCACTCTGCCCCCGGGCCAGACTCATGGAAAATCTGTGTTCATCAAGAAAATGCAAGAAGCCCCTATCACGAGCCTTTTCCATCCTATGGAGAGGGAGCATGGACACGGGGGTCGTCCCTCAGTTAATAAAAACAACAGACATAGCCCCACTCCACAAAGGGGGCAGTAAAGCAACAGCAAAGAACTACAGACCAATAGCACTAACATCCCATATCATAAAAATCTTTGAAAGGGTCCTAAGAAGCAAGATCACCACCCATCTAGAAACCCATCAGTTACACAACCCAGGGCAACATGGGTTTAGAACAGGTCGCTCCTGTCTGTCTCAACTACTGGATCACTACGACAAGGTCCTAAATGCACTAGAAGACAAAAAGAATGCAGATGTAATATATACAGACTTTGCAAAAGCCTTCGACAAGTGTGACCATGGCGTAATAGCGCACAAAATGCGCGCTAAAGGAATAACAGGAAAAGTCGGTCGATGGATCTATAATTTCCTCACTAACAGAACACAGAGAGTAGTCGTCAACAGAGTAAAGTCCGAGGCAGCTACGGTGAAAAGCTCTGTCCCACAAGGCACAGTACTAGCTCCCATCTTGTTCCTCATCCTCATATCCGACATAGACAAGGATGTCAGCCACAGCACCGTGTCTTCCTTTGCAGATGACACCCGAATCTGCATGACAGTGTCTTCCATTGCAGACACTGAAAGGCTCCAGGCGGACATCAACCAAATCTTTCAGTGGGCTGCAGAAAACAATATGAAGTTCAACGATGAGAAATTTCAATTACTCAGATATGGTAAACATGAGGAAATTAAATCTTCATCAGAGTACAAAACAAATTCTGGCCACAAAATAGAGCGAAACACCAACGTCAAAGACCTAGGAGTGATTATGTCGGAGGATCTCACCTTCAAGGACCATAACATTGTATCAATCGCATCTGCTAGAAAAATGACAGGATGGATAATGAGAACCTTCAAAACTAGGGAGGCCAAGCCCATGATGACACTCTTCAGGTCACTTGTTCTATCTAGGCTGGAATATTGCTGCACTCTAACAGCACCTTTCAAGGCAGGTGAAATTGCCGACCTAGAAAATGTACAGAGAACTTTCACGGCGCGCATAACGGAGATAAAACACCTCAATTACTGGGAGCGCTTGAGGTTTCTAAACCTGTATTCCCTGGAACACAGGAGGGAGAGATACATGATTATATACACCTGGAAAATCCTAGAGGGACTAGTACCAAACTTGCACACGAAAATCACTCACTACGAAAGCAAAAGACTTGGCAGACGATGCACCATCCCCCCAATGAAAAGCAGGGGTGTCACTAGCACGTTAAGTGACCATACAATAAGTGTCAGGGGCCCGAGACTGTTCAACTGCCTCCCAGCACACATAAGGGGGATTACCAACAGACCCCTGGCAGTCTTCAAGCTGGCACTGGACAAGCAACTAAAGTCAGTTCCTGATCAGCCGGGCTGTGGCTCGTACGTTGGTTTGCGTGCAGCCAGCAGCAACAGCCTGGTTGATCAGGCGCTGATCCACCAGGAGGCCTGGTCACAGACCGGGCCGCGGGGGCGTTGACCCCCGAAACTCTCTCCAGGTAAACTCCAGGATAAAGGTGTGAAACAGATTGGCCGAACATGTCAAGGCCAGTCTTAGTATGAGTTGCAAGGTTCCTAATGAATAAAGGGAACTATACAAAAAGGTTCCTAATGAAGCTACAGAAAGGTTCCTAAAGAAGCTACAGAAAGGTTCCTAAAGAAGCTACAGAAAGGTTCCTAATGAAGCTACAGAAAGGTTCCTAAAGAAGCTACAGAAAGGTTCCTAAAGAAGCTACAGAAAAGTTCCTAATGAAGCTACAGAAAGGTTCCTAAAGAAGCTACAGAAAGGTTCCTAATGAAGCTACAGAAAGGTTCCTAATGAAGCTACAGAAAGGTTCCTAAAGAAGCTACAGAAAGGTTCCTAATGAAGCTACAGAAAGGTTCCTAATGAAGCTACAGAAAGGTTCCTAAAGAAGCTACAGAAAGGTTCCTAATGAAGCTACAGAAAGGTTCCTAATGAAGCTACAGAAAGGTTCCTAAAGAAGCTACAGAAAGGTTCCTAATGAAGCTACAGAAAGGTTCCTAATGAAGTTACAGAAAGGTTCCTAATGAAGCTACAGAAAGGTTCCTAATGAAGCTACAGAAAGGTTCCTAAAGAAGCTACAGAAAGGTTCCTAAAGAAGCTACAGAAAGGTTCCTAAAGAAGCTACAAAAAGGTTCCTAATTAAGCTACAGAAAGGTTCCTAAAGAAGCTACAGAAAGGTTCCTAAAGAAGCTACAAAAAGGTTCCTAATTAAGCTACAGAAAGGTTCCTAAAGAAGCTACAGAAAGATTCCTAAAGAAGCTACAAAAAGGTTCCTAATGAAGCTACAGAAAGGTTCCTAATGAAGCTACAGAAAGGTTCCTAATGAAGCTACAGAAAGGTTCCTAATGAAGCTACAGAAAGGTTCCTAATGAAGCTACAGAAAGGTTCCTAATGAAGCTACAGAAAGGTTCCTAATGAAGCTACAGAAAGGGAGGAGAGTGTACATATTGTATTAAGACGATTTTCCTCTATTTAATGTTCTTGTAAATAACTCAGTTCACTTTATTCCATCTGTAACTCTTCATTATAACTGACTGTGACGCAGTTGAGTTACTTAGTTGTTTTAATATTTATAGTTATAACCCAGACTAACTTGTAATAGCAAGCTAGGATGTTAATAATAAGATATTAAAATGATATCAATGGGAAGAAGTCAGTCTTACTTTTTTTGGGGGGTTATGCTAGGTAATTTACACATATATTACTATGTATAATGATTGTAATCACCTAAACTTGTGAGATTGTGCTTGTGTATAAGTATACCTGGTTAAACTTAGTTATGAATTAGAGTAATCTTGGATGTTTATGTTACGTTTTCTGTGTTAAGAGGAGACCGGAAGCAGCCATCTTAGGCCCAGTGAGGCACTAGTGACACTGTTGCTGCTCTCCTCGTTCCTCCTGTCCACCCACCACCACAATGACACTCTAGTGGCACTCCTCCTGGCATGCAGCTGCTCCACTGTGCTGTAACTAGGCGTTAAAAGAGTGTAGTTAGAAGAGAAGAGAGAGTGTGTGGACCGCCCTGTGTCACGGCGCTCTCAACACCGCCTCCACAAACCAACAATTATGGGACCTGTCAATCTATGAGGGAGGAACTACGTCGTCTCTCAGGTCGCTGAGAGTTGTGTCAGCTCAAGAGGGTGCTGTTGGACAAGATGAAGAAGCTGTTTCAGAGGATAGACCAGTCTAACAAGGACCAGAGCCACACCACCTTCATAGGCAAGGTGTTTGTGGTGGGTCGTAATACTGTCACCGTTGAGGAGGTCATTGCTGAGGGTGAGTGATGACCCCTCTCTGGCACTGGTGGTTGCGTCTGTGTGTTGTGTTGAGCCTGTTTGGCACTGGTGGTCGTGCCTTGACCCTGTGTGGCACTGGTGGTCGTGTCTGTGTGATGTGTTGACCCTGTGTGACACTGGTGGTCATGCCTTGACCCTGTGTGGCACTGGTGGATGTGTCTGTGTGATGTGTTGACCCTGTGTAGCACTGGTGGTTGTGTCTGTGTGATATGTTGACCCTGTGTGGCACTGGTGGTCATGCCTTGACCCTGTGTGGCACGTGGATGTATCTGTGTGATGTGTTGACCCTGTGTAGCACTGGTGGTTGTGTCTGTGTGATATGTTGACCCTGTGTGGCACTGGTGGTTGTGTCTGTGTGATGTGTTGACCCTGTGTGGCACTGGTGGTCGTGTCTGTGTGATGTGTTGACCCTGTGTGGCACTGGTGGTTGTGTCTGTGTGATGTGTTGACCCTGTGTGGCACTGGTGGTCGTGCCTTGACCCTGTGTGGCACTGGTGGTCGTGTCTGTGTGATGTGTTGACCCTGTGTGGCACTGGTGGTCGTGTCTGTGTGTTGTGTTGATCCTTTGTGGCACTGGTGGTCATGCCTTGACCCTGTGTGGCACTGGTCATGCCTTGACCCTGTGTGGCACTGGTGGATATGTCTGTGTGATGTGTGGACCCTGTGTAGCACTGGTGGTTGTCTGTGTGATGTGTTGACCCTGTGTGGCACTGGTGGTTGTGTGTGTGTGATGTGTTGACCCTGTGTGGCACTGGTGGTTGTGTGTGTGTGATGTGTTGACCCTGTGTGGCACTGGTGGTTGTGTCTGTGTGATGTGTTGACCCTGTGTGGCACTGGTGGTTGTGTCTGTGTGATGTGTTGACCCTGTGTAACACTGGTGGTTGTGTCTGTGTGATGTGTTGACCCTGTGTGGCACTGGTGGTTGTGTCTGTGTGATGTGTTGACCCTGTGTGGCACTGGTGGTCGTGCCTTGACCCTGTGTGGCACTGGTGGATGTGTCTGTGTGATGTGTTGACCCTGTGTAGCACTTGTGGTTGTGTCTGTGTGATGTGTTGACCCTGTGTAGCACTGGTGGTCATGTCTGTGTGATGTGTTGACCCTGTGTGGCGCTGGTGGTCGTGCCTTGACCCTGTGTGGCACTGGTGGTCGTGCCTTGACCCTGTGTGGCACTGGTGGATGTGTCTGTGTGATGTGTTGACCCTGTGTAGCACTGGTGGTTGTGTCTGTGTGATGTGTTGACCCTGTGTAGCACTGGTGGTTGTGTCTGTGTGATGTGTTGGCCCTGTGTAGCACTGGTAGTTGTGTCTGTGTGATGTGTTGACCCTGTGTGGCACTGGTGGATGTGTCTGTGTGATGTGTTGACCCTGTGTGGCACTGGTGGTTGTGTCTGTGTGATGTGTTGACCCTGTGTGGCACTGGTGGTTGTGTCTGTGTGATGTTGACCCTGTGTGGCACTGGTGGTTGTGTCTGTGTGATGTGTTGACCCTGTGTGGCACTGGTGGTCGTGTCTGTGTGATGTGTTGACCCTGTGTGGCACTGGTGGTCGTGCCTTGACCCTGTGTGGCACTGGTGGTCGTGCCGTGACCCTGTGTGGCACTGGTGGTCGTGTCTGTGTGATGTGTTGACCCTGTGTGGCACTGGTGGTCGTGTCTGTGTTGTGTTGATCCTTTGTGGCACTGGTGGTCGTGCCTTGACCCTGTGTGGCACTGGTGGTCGTGTCTGTGTGATGTGTTGACCCTGTGTGGCACTGGTGGTCGTGTCTGTGTGTTGTGTTGATCCTTTGTGGCACTGGTGGTCATGCCTGGACCCTGTGTGGCACTGGTCATGCCTTGACCCTGTGTGGCACTGGTGGATGTGTCTGTGTGATGTGTTGACCCTGTGTGGCACTGGTGGTCATGCCTTGACCCTGTGTGGCACTGGTGGTCATGTCTGTATGATGTGTTGATCCTTCGTGGCACTGGTGGTCATGTCTGTGTGATATGTTGACCCTGTGTGGCACTGGTGGTCGTGTCTGTGTGATGTGTTGACCCTGTCTGGCACTGGTGGTCATGTCTGTGTGGTGTTTATCCTTCGTGGCACTGGTGGTCATGTCTGTGTGATATGTTGACCCTGTGTGGCACTGGTGGTCGTGTCTGTGTGATGTGTTGACCCTGTGCGACACTGGTGGTCATGCCTTGATCATGTGTGGCACTGGTGGTCGTGTTGATCCTGTGTGGCACTGGTGGTCGTGTCTGTGTGATGTGTTGACCCTGTGTGGCACTGATGGTCATGTCTGTGTGATGTGTTGACCCTGTGTGGCACTGGTGGTCATGTCTGTGTGATGTGTTGACCCTGTGACACTGGTAGTCATGCCTTGACCCTGTATGACACAAATGGTTGTCATGTCTTGACTATGTGTGGCACTGGTTGTCATGTCTTGATCCTGTGTGGCACTAGTGGTTGTCATGTCTTGATCCTGTGTGGCACTAGTGATTGTCATGTCTTGATCCTGTGTGGCACTAGTGGTTGTCATGTCTTGATCCTGTGTGGCACTAGTGGTTGTCATGTCTTGATCCTGTGTGGCACTAGTGGTTGTCATGTCTTGATCCTGTGTGGCACTAGTGGTTGTCATGTCTTGATCCTGTGTGGCACTAGTGGTTGTCATGTCTTGATCCTGTGTGGCACTAGTGGTTGTCATGTCTTGATCCTGTGTGGCACTAGTGGTTGTCATGTCTTGATCCTGTGTGGCACTAGTGGTTGTCATGTCTTGATCCTGTGTGGCACTAGTGGTTGTCATGTCTTGATCCTGTGTGGCACTAGTGGTTGTCATGTGTTGATCCTGTGTGGCACTAGTGGTTGTCATGTCTTGATCCTGTGTGGCACTAGTGGTTGTCATGTCTTGATCCTGTGTGGCACTAGTGGTTGTCATGTCTTGATCCTGTGTGGCAACTAGTGGTTGTCATGTCTTGATCCTGTGTGGCACTAGTGGTTGTCATGTCTTGATCCTGTGTGGCACTAGTGGTTGTCATGTCTTGATCCTGTGTGGCACTAGTGGTTGTCATGTCTTGATCCTGTGTGGCACTAGTGGTTGTCATGTCTTGATCCTGTGTGGCACTAGTGGTTGTCATGTCTTGATCCTGTGTGGCACTAGTGGTTGTCATGTCTTGATCCTGTGTGGCACTAGTGGTTGTCATGTCTTGATCCTGTGTGGCACTAGTGGTTGTCATGTCTTGATCCTGTGTGGCACTAGTGGTTGTCATGTCTTGATCCTGTGTGGCACTAGTGGTTGTCATGTCTTGATCCTGTGTGGCACTAGTGGTTGTCATGTCTTGATCCTGTGTGGCACTAGTGGTTGTCATGTCTTGATCCTGTGTGGCACTAGTGGTTGTCATGTCTTGATCCTGTGTGGCACTAGTGGTTGTCATGTCTTGATCCTGTGTGGCACTAGTGGTTGTCATGTCTTGATCCTGTGTGGCACTAGTGGTTGTCATGTCTTGATCCTGTGTGGCACTAGTGGTTGTCATGTCTTGATCCTGTGTGGCACTAGTGGTTGTCATGTCTTGATCCTGTGTGGCACTAGTGGTTGTCATGTCTTGATCCTGTATGGCACTAGTGGTTGTCATGTCTTGATCCTGTGTGGCACTAGTGGTTGTCATGTCTTGATCTGTGTGGCACTAGTGGTTGTCATGTCTTGATCCTGTGTGGCACTAGTGGTTGTCATGTCTTGATCCTGTGTGGCACTAGTGGTTGTCATGTCTTGATCCTGTGTGGCACTAGTGGTTGTCATGTCTTGATCCTGTGTGGCACTAGTGGTTGTCATGTCTTGATCCTGTGTGGCACTAGTGGTTGTCATGTCTTGATCCTGTGTGGCACTAGTGGTTGTCATGTGTTGATCCTGTGTGGCACTAGTGGTTGTCATGTCTTGATCCTGTGTGGCACTAGTGGTTGTCATGTCTTGATCCTGTGTGGCACTAGTGGTTGTCATGTCTTGATCCTGTGTGGCACTAGTGGTTGTCATGTCTTGATCCTGTGTGGCACTAGTGGTTGTCATGTCTTGATCCTGTGTGGCACTAGTGGTTGTCATATTGTTGATCCTGTGTGGCACTAGTGGTTGTCATGTTGTTGATCTTGTGTGGCACTAGTGGTTGTCATGTTGTTGATCCTGTGTGGCACTGATCATGTCGTTGACCCTGTGTGGCACGGGTGGTCATATCGTTGATCCTGTGTAGCACGGGTGGTCATGTCATTGATCCTGAGTCACACTGATGGTCATATCTTAACCTCATGACACTAGTAGTCACATCTTGACCCTGTGTGACACTAGTGGTCATATCTTGACACTGTGTGACACTAGTGGTCATATCTTGACCTTGTGTGACAGTGGTGGTGAAATATTGACCCTGTATGGCAGTGGGTGTCATGTCTTGACCCTGTGTGGCACTGGTGGTCATGTCTTGACCCTGTGTGGCACTGTTGCCTGTGTCGAGGGTGAGTATTGACCCTGTGTGTCATTTCTGGTGATCTCACAGGGAGCGTTGACACTCTTGTCATGTTAAATTATGTTTGACATGGGGGTTCATATTGGGTCATCACATGGTAACTCTGAAGAGTAAACTCTACCTTCTATTATGGAAGGTCTTGTGTTATTTTGCCACGAGATTCAGATGTGCTGATTTTATTTATGATTTTGGGTGAGTGTTGGTCCTGGGTCACATAGTAGTGATGAATGTTAAACTTTATTTTTACAAAGTATAGTTTACAATTAATTTGGAAAGGTGATATTATTGAAATACTTTATAGAAAGTCCCAGAATATTCAGAGTATTTTGGGCAGCCTTAAGATAAACTTTTAACTGCTACCAGAATTTTTTGCAAGAACACTATATTGAAAGGTTATTACAAATGTCGGTCAAATGCAAAGTCAGATGCTAATCTAAATCTCAATATTACTGCCCAGGACATGAAGTAATTGAAGACCTTATACAGGAGGGCCCCACTTATA